TTGGCAAAAAAATAAAAAACATAAAAAAATCCTCCTTCTGTAAAGTATTCTCAGAGCCAATTTTATGTCTCTGTTTCTCGGGCAGTAGATGAATGGGTTCAGCATGGGGATCACCACCGTGTACATAACTGAAGCAATTATGTCCTTGACTTTGGAATTGTTTGATGCAGGAAAGAAGTAAATAATTGCAACAGTTCCATAGTACAGAAACACCACAAAGAGATGGGAACCACAGGTGGACAAGGCTTTGCAGATCCTCTTGGTGGAAGGAACCTTCAGGACGGTGGCCCCAATGCTAACATAAGAGCCAAAAATAGCACTCAGTGTCAAGAGGACAATCAGCGCCCCCCCCACCCCCTCAATTAAGACAACTAGTTCATTGAGGCAAGTGTCTGAACAGGTAAGCTTCAGGAGGGCAGTGAGATCACAGAAGAAGTTTGGGATATTGTTGTCAGTACAGAAGGACAAGTGGGACAGGAGAAGGGTATGCAACAGGGCATGGACACTAGAGAGGAACCAAGACCCAACCACCAATAAGAAACACAGCTCCTCCCTCATGATGGTGATATAGTGGAGGGGATGACAGATGGCCACAAACCTGTCATATGCCATCAATGCAAGAAGGAAATCATCCAAGCAAACAAAAAGTATGTAAAAATACATCTGTGAAATGCACCTCTCATAGGGGATGGATTTGTCACTAGCCTGCATGTCCATCAACATCTTTGGGACGATGACAGATGAGAAAGAGACATCAGAGAAGGCCAAGTGGCTGAGGAAGAAGTACATGGGGGTGTGGAGGCGAGGGTCCAGCCTGACGAGCAGGATGATGAGCAGGTTCCCCAGCACCGTGGTCAGGTACATGCCCAGGAACAGGGAGAAGAACATGCCCTGTTGCTCCGGCCGGACGGGGAGCCCCAGGAGGAGGAATTCAGACACGGTGCTCTGGTTCTCAGGCCTCATGGTGCTCTTCTGTGTCCTGAGGATGAAGAAGGGTCAGGAGTCTCAGGAACCTAGGAAGGCTGAT